ATATCAGTTTTAGTTTATTCTATATTACTCTTTTCGATAATAAAATTCAAATAATTCACCGTACTTCACTGATACTCAGATCTTGAAATACAATGAAGTATTTAAGATTGATAACTGAATAGACTTATATAACATGATTTTAAATTAATATGTTCGTGACATATATTGATAGTAGACTTGAAATAGATAAAAATTTCTAGAGAATATCTTTAAAATATGCTGAAGTATGGAACTTTCCTTTTTCCCTATCATAGAATATCACACAATAGTTTCTAAAAATTTTGAAAAATAAAAAATGTGTAGCCTATTTTATTTTAAATATTTCAATGTAAATATTTTTTCTTTCTTAAAAGCTAACAATTAACGAATAATTTTTAATACTAACATAAAAGTTTGGTTATGTATAAAATTCAGTAGAATAGAATAAAATATTTTTTTCAAACAAATTAACTAAAAATTAATTTCAATAAAAGATGATTCCATTCATAGTGAAATAATATAATAAAAAATTCTATAACTTGTGGATTTATTTTCATTGTATTAACGTTCTTAATCTAGAAGAACTATAAGATACAACTAAAATCAAATTTAACCATTTTCTTTTATTAGCATTGCTCCATTGGACGCATGAGTGCATAAGATACAACACGATAGATCTAAATCTATTCGGATAATTAAGTTCTTAATTTCATTGCAAACATAACAATACATAAAAATGATTTGTTTTCATAATAACAGTTTTGTGCGCTACTCTTTTGACTATGTATAAAGAGAGGAAATAGACCATTTTCTAGTCTATGAAACGTTCGATGAGTTCCGCGAATATTTGTGTTTTTGACATACTGTCAATTGACCCAAACAAAATCATTTCTTTGTTTATCTATAGTCGGGTACTGATAGTCTTCCATTAATATTTATCATAATTTTAATCTTGTTATGCGAAATAGAAAATTGTTGCATATGCAGATTGATTGATTGAATGAAAACATTTTTTTTCTATTATTTCTATACGAGTGAAATGTTGCAAAGTGAACTTCACAATTATACTCCAATACACGTTTTTAATCTCTATTACAAAGAGTACACCTGAAAACACAGAAAATTTACACTTGAGAAGAATTTTGTATGTATTTTGCTCGAAGCAATGAAATTATGAATTTTATATAAATACGCATTTGAACGGGGATCAATCTAGAAGATTTTAGTGTTGATCAGGTATATAATTGCATAGCCATTCATTCGAAGAACTCTTTTCATACTATTTTGTAGATTGTTGTACACGCTATCTTCTGAAAAAAGACTCAAATGTATGAATCACAATTTGAGAGGCTATGCGATTTATTTTACTGTATCCAATTATATTGAAATTGTTTGAGGATACAATACAGTATTTTTTTTCTTTTTGTTTTTGATAGGCTCAACTTATTTTCGTCATTCATTACGTTTTGCTGTTAATTGGATTGTTGTTGCATTTACACTTGAACGCCTTATTGTTGTATACTTTCCTTTACAAACATCTGTATTATGCAATCCTCGTAGTGCTAGACGTATATGTTTATTTATATTAATTATTTCATCTTTATTACCAATTTATTCATTTATTATGTCCGATATAAGTAATGATGGAAAAAATCATATATTTGAATGTGATATAATGGATAAATTTAAAAAAATTTATTTTTATCTAACAATTATTTATGGAAATTTAACATTAACATTTCCTATATTAATTGTTTGTATTGTTAACATATTAACTGTTCGACAATTATTACATGCTGGACGTTTACGAAAAAAACAACAACAATTAAGTCAAACAAAAAAAGTTGATAGTGCTAATAATGAATATGTAAATATGATTGTTAAAAATCAATTAGAAAATGATAAAGTTACATGGATGCTTGTTGTTATATCAGTCACATTTGGTATATTAAATTTTCCATATTTTATTTTTTGGTTAGTTTTTTGTATAATGCGAGTACGCGGTAAAGAACCATCAGTATATATTGAATCAGGACGAATGGTTGGAGAAGTTTGTTATTTACTTGGTTATAGTTTAAATTTTTTTCTTTATGTTATATCACGACGAAGCTTTCGTAAAGTTTTAATTGAAAAAATGCGATGGCGTTGTGATTGGTTTGAACAATGGCGTTTAAATGAAATGCGTCTTGATGCAGCATTACGTTCTCAACAGATGCCACGGCAAATAAGTATACGAAATGGAAATGGAAATGGAAATACAAATATACCAAATACAGATGAGCATCTGGTTGATAACTTATGTCGATAGCGTCACTGTTATTTCTGCTATAAACTTTGGTGCTATTGGAATCATTCTGTAATTTTTCTAATAGCAGTTGAAACATTATGTAAAGTAAAAAAAAAAAATATGTTTACATCCTAATCTATTGCATCAGTTAATAGCACTACAAATAATAATGAATGGTGAGCAATCAATTACGACTAAAAAGAATACAGGAAATTCTTTAAAAACATCTGAAAAAACAACTAAAATGTTTCCTTGTCAAACAGCAAATACTATTTGAATGATAGACTCTACTATGTGATGATGGATGCTTAATTTTATTTTTCATTCTAATGTATTTGTAATTAAACTAAGTGTGCTCCCATTATGTTTACGATGTTTTTCTTTTTTCTTTTTTTCTTTTAATATAATAATTAGCTAGTTTTTTTTTTCTTTCTTTCATAAATAAAAATTGGTTAATGCCAGTTTACTTATTATTGATGGTATTCATACCAGTGTCTACTGACAAATGTGGACGAGTACGTCATCCGTAATGTGTGTCAAATGTAAACATTTGCATCAAAAGAGCAAAGAAACCAATTTGCTAGATTTATTACTTTTCTATGTCGAATTCTTAATTTAATGAGAAAGAACGAAATAATTAATTTGTTTACTTAACAACAACGATAAATTTCTTTTTAATTGATCATTCCAATTAATAAGACACCAATATTCATTTCAATGACATAATTTGTCCTCTAACAAATAGAATATATAGTTTGTTAGTATTCGTAAAAGTCATAAGAAGTAACAAGCAAGAAATTAAATACATATTCGTTAATGTTAATTTGTTAATGCTTCATCGAACACCAATGTCAAACAATCTTTTTTTTTTCATACTCATGCATTTTGTGTTACGAAAAACAAAAAGATATCTTCGTTATTCTGAATAGTTAATGTAATAACATTAAATGTACATATTTCATAATCATATTACTTATCCTTAATTCATAAAATCAACATAAATCAAAGCAGAAAATTTTTTATTCCTGAATATGCTCTTCATTTTTTAAATTTGATTCTATACATTTTCAAATGTAATTTGTAGGCTAACACATTTATATTGCTCTGATGGAAGAACAAATAAAGGGAAATTATCTCAAATAATCTATTGGATTGATAAAAAAAGATTTATTAAAGTGTGAATATGGGTATTAGAGTTCAATGATCTAAAAAAAAACTGGAATCAATGAACCAACCGGAATCGTTTAATAATAGGATAGATAAAACAATTTCTGAAATATATGCAGTGTAATCAATCTCAGCACTCCAATTGTAAAAATTTCTCAAAATATATTTAAAATTTTCGTGTCTATCTGATGATTTAACAGTATTGATTCCATATGATATTTTGAGAATCAAACCGGAACCGCTTTTTTTCTCGTTTTTAGTAATCGGAACCGGAGCCGGAACTATTATTCCTGTTCCGTGTAATTTTTGCTACCACTGAGCTGTAGAGGATGTGCGTAAAGACAAGACTGACATTCTCACACTCAAACTGATTCTCAATAACCGAATTTGTAAGAAAAGCACTTCAAAATTCGAATTGTATCATAAAGCTGCAATTCATTCATATAAAACGGTAGAGTGCTTGAACAATAGACATAAGTAACAGAACAAACAGATTAAAAGAAAAATGTTTTAACCATTCCTTTCTGGCAATGTCTAATTGCAAATTATTATTTTTCTTTTGTATGATCTATTCTTTACATTTGAAATCCGTTAAAATATATTGTATATTTGTAATTAAAATGAAATAAATTCCATGAGAAATTTATTAATAAATATTTTTAAAAGTAAGTTTTAAAACAAAATAAAATCTGCTGAATTTTACATGTTATAAGGAAAGAAAAATTTTGAAAATATGATTTTATTTATTTGAATAATATATTCGTTATTTTTCTTTCTAATCATTACGCGCGATTAATTTTATTCATATTAAAATGAATTTTATTTTTTTGGAATTCTTTTCTTTTTTCAATCTATTCTGGCTTATTTATCAGAAAAATATTTTTGCGATCCTTATAGCGATGAATATTCTTCTCCTACGGAATCAGCTTTTTTTACTTCATCAATTATTTCATCCAAACAACAATATAATAAAAACATATCGACAAAAGGGTAAAGAAAAATACGAATAATAATCTCAAGTTTAGTCTGTATCTACAAACAAAATGAAACTTCAATTATAGACAAACGAATTGCTCAAATAATACAGTCAATAATTCATTAAAGAAAAAATTATATAAGTAAATATCACACATTTAACAATCAAAAAAAAAAGTAATGGATTTCATAGAGAAAAGTTTTTTGACACAAAAATTAATCAAAAAGCTTTATCATTTCACTCATCGCCACAAAAATTAACAAATAATTTGAATGCCATCCAATCGACACCTACTACGAAATCGATTGATTTCGAGTCAAATAATAAATTGGTACTTGATAGTAATGCACGACCATCAAATTTAACTTTAATCGAGTATATTGATTCATTTGCTCAATTATAATTTAAAAATAAATAAATTTTACTTTCAGACAAAAAGAAATCCCATTCTATATCGATAACTCTGTGAATACTGAACCAAATCATAATGATTCTAAATCAATAATAAAAAATTCCTATCGAATTCCAAGTCCGACAATTCTTTTACCTGGAGAATTTTCTACATCATCAAAAACCATTACAAATAGTAATATGGTTGTTAATAAAGTTCGACGATCTACACCAATGGATAATAATCGAAATTTGTAAATGAATCTTTTCTCACAACTAAAAAACAAAAGAGAAATCTGTTTTTTTTTTTAATTTTTTATTTTCAATAATATTATTTAGATTAATATTTAGCCAACCAAATTCATTTCATTTAAATATTCATTCAATGCATAATACAGAAGAATTGATATCAAATTCTGATAAAACTTCAACATCAAGTATAAATAGTTTAAGTCTTATTCAAACATTATCATCACCACAACTTCCATTATCTAATACAATAATTAATCCTCAACAATTACCAACATTTCATTTTGAACGATCTAATACTCATAGAAGAGTTCAAGATAGTATTTTATCAGTTCAACAAATTTTTCCTACAAAGAAATCATCTGTAAAATTATCTGGATTTGTTGATAAACAAATACTTTCAAATACATATAGTCCTAGTCCAACAATATCATGTATGTAAAATAAATTATTAATATTTCACGAAAGAAATCTTTCGACTGATAAATCCACCTTTTAGTTGAGACTATATGCATCATGTATCGATGAATGCCTTGAAATAAGTTCGTGGTCAAAGCTGATGATAATATCAATACTCTGTTCTTAAGAATTATGCTTCAATTCTATGCCGTATTCCATTCACTTCAGAAAAATTCATACGTGCATTTTCACTTAAAGCTTTGCATAGAAAGAGATCTTAACAAGAATAATCAATACCAAAAGATTTTTGTTACTTTTTTTTTTTTTTTTTTCTATAAGTCCATTTTTGTAAGAAAAACGAAAACAAATATTGATCACTCGACAGTTTAATCAGAATTTTTTGTTAAATAATTGTTTGAGAAAAAAATATTAAATATATTATAGTATCACAAATGACAAATGATATTACAAATGATTTTCATAGTAATCCAATATCAACTTTTTCTCCTGATTTTGAATCATCACCATTTCAATTATTTCATAATAAGTTAGATAATGAAAATATACAATTTGAATATGAAACGTCATCTCAAACAAAAATACATCATGAAATAAAACATGTATGAAAGAAGAATAATTTCATTATACAGAAGAGAAAGAAAAATTTTTAGTTTATATTTTAGAAACCTGAATCATTATGGAAAACGAAATTAACATTAAAAACATTACTTTCAATGTCTAATAGAGATGAAGCTCAAGCATTAAAAGATAAAAAACCTATTGATTATCATATGTTTCTGAGTAATAAATTGAATAAAAATTCTATTTTTCAATATAATGATCATATTGATACAAAATTTACTGCTAATAATAAACATACAATTGTACAACAAATTAATGAACAAGATTATCAAGGAACTCGAGTAAATCAATTAAATCAAAATTTATATCGTTTCATATTGCTTTTTATTTTAAAAGAAATTATATAAACGTTTATTAAATACAATGGGATTACGCAAACCAGTAAATATTAAAAAATCTAAATCTTTAACGTCAATCAAACAGATAAAAACTAAACGTAGCAGTAAAACAAAACCACCAAATATAATTCAAGAAAATGTTCTTCTATCATCTGATAATTCTATTCAATTTTTAACAAATAATGAACATGAAAAACCTATACTTATTACTTATCAAGCAGTACCAATTTCAGAATGATTTCGATAGTTATTTTTTCTTTTGTCTTGTCTTTTCATATTAATCGTTCTTTTTCACTATCATTTTCACTAGGACGTGACTTTGATAAGCAATAATTGATGCGAATAAATATAATAGGTTATTTTACACAAAAAGAAACTAGACGTTGTCGACATTGAAATTAACAATGAATAACAGTACAACTACTAATATTAGTCGAAGCAAAGAAATTGAAGAAAAAATAAGTTCACTTACTGAAAATTTTCATACAACAACGGATTCAGTTAATACACTTCAACAAACGTGTGCTAATATCTTATTGGATAATACTAAACATTATCAATTGGATGTATTAAATCGTCTTGATGCTATTGAGAAAAAAATTGAAAATTTCAATAGTGATGGTATATAATTATAAACAAAACATCTTAATAATCATTTTTTCATGTTCTATGTTCTTTGTTTTATTCAATTGAAATAAATATTTGATAAACTTAAAAAAATCTTGTTTTATAGGCGAAATCTTGTTTTTACATTACACAATGTTTATGCCCCTAGATTATGCTTTCTTGCTGTTATTATGATATATGTCTACAGGCCAACTCTCAAATTAATAATCTTTAAAGACTGTGTTGTAACAGATTTAATCTTGTGTTGAAGAATGAAATCATAGTTTCCAAAAATTCAAGATCTAGATAGTTTAAAATTGCAAACAACAGAATTAAAATAGAACAACAAAAAAAAACAAACGTAATATATTATCTTTCGTTGAAATCTGAAGCATTTGACATATGCGTATTAGACTAATAATAAAAAGAAAAACATGCTATTTATCAATGTTAAAGAAATTTCTCTCTCTCTTTAATATATCATTTGATTAAGTTTTATGAATTTTGAAGTTATGCGAACTTATTTTCATATCATGACTTTTAGGACATCACATATATCGAGAAAACAATAGATTATTGCACGAAAAACAAACGTACTGCTTTCGTATGAGACATAAGAATGCATTTGTAATGTATCCAGACGATGTACGATAGAAATATTAACTCACGAAAAAGTACATACACACAAGTGAAGAAAAGAAACCTATGTCTAAAGCATTTTTTCTTCAATATCTATAAATCAATCAATTAAAAGTTTTATAAAAAAAAATTTCAAATTTCAAAATTAAATTTTAAAAACTCCTAACGGCGTTTAATTATGAATTACCTTTTTTTCTTTTAACATCAAATTTTCCATATATAATCAACACGAAAAATTGGACGTCTCCTTTTTTTTTATGTTCTTTTTTGTCAATGCTATTCTTTGCTAATCACTCGATCCATTCATCATCAATGATTTTTGTTCATTGACACATTTATGTCATGATTGTCAGTTTTTTTTTCAAACTAGTAATGACAAGTGAAAGTGTTCTTCATCTCCAACAGGTATGGGAGTCATTTGGGAACAAATACTGATCCGTTATCATTACAAGTATCATCATATAACGACGACGAATAGACACAGCAGGTATCTAAGTGTTAATAACGATCATCTCTCTTGTTATTGACGCAATCAAATTGTCAAGTCAAATGATTTTTCATACATACATTTGTATGTGTAGACTCCTCCTTTGCAATATAGCAGTCCCTCTAGGCATAGTTGTGTCTACGATCATCATCGATTGCCATATAATTTCATATAAAAAAAACCTATGCTGTTACAGTTCGTTAACTATATGTTGTTGTTGTGTACACTCTAATTAGCAATGAATAAGAACGAAAAAAGCGAAAAAATGAAATTAATTTGACATTTAGACAAACAAAACAGGATTTTTCTATGTACAGGTATGATGATAGCGGCAAGTTTGCATTCACGTTTAGACATCGATCAGTCAAATACACGTACAGGTAACATGATTAAATGGTTAGATACTCCTTTATGAAGGAGAAAAAACGAACGGAAGCATTCATCATCTTTTTTTTGATAAATATCGTGCCGTTAATATGTTATCGATACCTCTGGTTACATACAGTCATTAGTAAGATATTTTATGTGTGCATCCAAGCATATTTAGTTAAAAAGTCGCAGAACTACCAGTAAGCAGATTATAATATTATATAAATAAACATATTGATTGCTCATGTTTTTTCACCTCAATCATTTGTATTTTCCCTATGGTTAAGTTATGTCAGTTAGTTTTGTGATTTATTGAAAATCAAGAACATTTATTTTCTTTTTTTTTTTTTTTATTTATTATTATGTGTGAAATATAAAACGTGAAAATATCTCTTCATAGTTCTTGACACATTCAATGTATCATCCTTTTTGGACAAAAGTTTATTTGATGTTTTTATTCAATTAATTGTACAAAAGAAAAAAATCTTCTTTTTTTTTTCGAGTAAGTTTGATAAGTCAATGTTATCTCTAAAATGAATCAAAAATGAACTTCAAAAGAACATCTATTTATGTGTTCACTATTCTTAGACAAAAAATTGATTGGTTAGGAAAAGTAGGGAAAAGAAATAGAAGTATACCGAGAATGAGACAGAGAGAGAGAGAGAGAGAGCGAAAAATGGGATTAATGATTAAGTCGCATCATTATCACATTCAACTTTTAAAAATGTTGAATATCGATGAAAATTTCAATCCATTACAAAAGCATCAAAGGTAAAAGTATCCTGCTGAAAACTTCTGTTCATATTCACATATATTACACAAACGAACAAAAAGAAAAAAAATTTTTTTTTTTCACACATAAATTATTAGCTTAATCTTGCTTTTGTTTTTTATTTTATTTAAATATAAATTTCTACTTCACACTTATTTATTCATTTTAGCAATATGGATCAGCCACTTGATTTAACTCTATCAAATAATGAAATGATTAAAAAAAATAAATTTACTATTGAATATTTAACTTCAAATAATTTTCAGCAATATCAAACACCATTAACAACTAAACATAATACAGTTTTAACTTATCTTGATTCATCAACTCCACCATTACATCCAGTTGAAAATCAATTAAATCATAATTATAATTGTTTTTCAATTAATTCAGGATTAAATGAACATGTTGTACCAAATATTTGTAGTCCACCATTAACTGTAAGTATAAAGAAAAGAAAAAAAAACTTGTTGTTTTACTTATGAAAAATTAAATGAGTTTTTGTTTTCTTTAATATTAGAATGGAACTTTGGAAATGGTTAATGGTGGAAATGGTATTAAAAATCCTTTATTTGATTGTGCAACAGAAGCATTACAAATTCAATATAGTAAGTTGAATGATTTTTCCCAGAAAGAATAATTTAATTAATGAAATAATTTGTTACGCTCAATCAATAATTTAGATTTTTGTTTTTTTTATTCTCTTAGTCATCGAAATAACATGACTCATTAAGAATATATATATATATATATGAATTGTTAACTCAATACAAGTTTTAGTAGAAGATCATAAATTCTCATGAGAAAAGAGAATAGGAATTATAAGTAGATATTTAGGGAATTATCTTTTATATTATACCTATCGGGATAACCTGTTGCATTCCTTGACTAAGTAACTAGAACAATAAAAGTTTAAATATTTTATTCAAACATACTGCAGATTATTTGCTCAAAAGCAAGTTCAAATAAATTTGTTCTTACATGTTCCTAATAGAATCGTATTTTAATATGATGATTTTTGACAAATATTCATATGAGATATTGTAGATATGAAATAAACATTCTTTTGTTCTATATCTTGTCTTGATTGTAAATGATAACTAAAAACTAAAATATCTTGTTCTTTTTTTTTAAATATTAAATAAAAACATAGTAAATAAAAGTTTCAGTTTCTCAATATCATTGTGTTTAAATATATCTGCAGAAAATTTAGACTAATACTAAAATAATCCTATTATATTTTATGTTGATTCTTTTTTATTATAAGATCGTACTTAAAATTTGATTTTTGTAGCTAATGAACTGAATCATGGTGAAGAATTTTTCTGTGGTTTATGTACAAAAAAATTTAAACTTCAACGACTATTAAATCGACATTTGAAAAATCATAGTCAAATAAAACGATATTTATGTACATTTTGTGGTAAAGGATTTAATGATACTTTTGATCTCAAACGACATACAAGAACACATACAGGTTATTAAGAAAAATACGTTGTTTTTTTTGTTTGTTTTTATTTAAAAATATTTTCTTGAAAAGGTGTTCGACCATTTAAATGTGATCGATGTGAAAAAGCTTTTACACAACGTTGTAGTCTTGAATCTCATCAACGAAAAGTTCATGGATTAACTCATAAATTTGGTTATAAAACTCGTCGAAATAAATTATATGTTTGTGAAGATTGTGGACATACATCAACTGATCCAACAGATCATTATGAACATATTAAAAGTACACATCCGTATTCCTCATTAGTAAATCGTCAATATGATAGAAGACAATTTAAATTTGATTCCAATTCATCATCAACATCATCATCAAATAATAATACAATCATTAGTACATCTGAAAGATCTGCATCATCACCATTTAAAATTGAAATCGACTCAGATTAGAAATATTTTCTTATATTATTTAGATATGTTTTTTTTTTCTTTATTAACGACATTTTTTCTTTCTATGAAATCTTGCATATATGTGTCTTGTTTTTTCTTCGTCATTTTCTTTTTGTTTTGATAAAATTAAATAAAAGATAATTGAAGTTATTTTAATAATTTCTTTCTGATTTTTCACTTGTGTTATTCAAAATAAAAGAAAAAAAATATCCTGTTAATTATTTAGAAAAGGAAAATAAAGGAAGTAGGTCTTGAAGAAAACAAAGTGCATACCTGTCAGGGTTGTCGATTGTTTTTAGAAGTGGGGGGAGGCTAAAATTTTGGCAGACAATGTTCTCATTTTTTCTGGCGTAAAAACTGTTGACTGGAGGGGGGGGGGGAGAAACGACACCAGCTTTCACTAGGTCATATCGTACCTCCTCCTCGGGCTTTCATACAATCGGTCATTTCTCCCAGCAACTGTAAAAAAATTGGTAGACAGTATTAAAAATTTTCGCAGGCAGGCAGACAATTTCGTGGGGATAGCCCCTCCCCCCTAATCGGAAAGCCTGATACCTATGGACATAAATCATTATCGATTGTTACTAGTATCATTAAGATCTACTTGAAACGTTCATATGATCGTATAACTTACGAGATTGTTCGTGAGATTTTCTTTTGAGTATTACTAATTAACTTATGATCGTTGATACAGGTAAGAGTTTGTTTTTTGGGAAAACAAAAAGCATAGTCTGATTTATAGAAGAGATATATCAGAAATATAAAAAAAAACCACAAATAAATATTGTTATACTAAAAAATAGTCATAATATTATGCAATTTAAGATCATGTGAAGAGGATGAAAATACAAATAATCATG